TTCATATGTTTTACTAATACTAATTACCAATACTTTTGTACAATTTCAAGTTGTTGGATCTCCATAGTACAGTGAACCCTCTCTAATATCAACCTCATTAGAATGTGGTCCAACCAATCGTACAATTTCCGGACTGAAATTTCTATACCCATGTGATCTCAACATTAAGCATGCCTTTCCTCCACAGAGCACGAAATATTAAAAATATTAACAAATGTCATAATCTGGTAAACCCTTTTTCGACAACAACAAAAGATCCGCCAAAGACTCACTCAACCATTAATGACGTAAATAATAGCGATGAGGCCTGCTCCTCTCCCTCCGACCAGAAACCAGCGTCAGCCTCGATTTCAACGATTATAACAAACTCCTTCACTCGCGAAAACGACGTTCCCTGGACAGGTGAAGAGGATTTAAAGACAACAGTCATACGTATGATCTTGGATAAATACCCGCCTCTCCGCGTCAAAAGAGAGAGTGTAAAGGAATATGTTGATGCCCATAGTAAACGACCATTCGCAACACCAAATTATCTACCACAGACGACTGTATCTACAGAACCGCATAAAAGTTCAAAGATCTTGCAAGAGAAAAAAGAGAAAGTTAGAGAAGCCGCGAAAGAAAGACTAGTTAATGCTCGCGAGGCAGTTATTGATTATGCATTGCAAAAGAAATGCGGGGGTAACAAGTCGGGTAGCAGTAACAATGCGGATAAAGGTATGAAGATGACTGCGTCAGCCACGCCCAAGTTTCCTTCTCGAGGACAGAGCCTAGCACTTTACTCGATCTCAGGTTGGGGCAACCTAGTTGAGCAACGTATTCTTGAATCGATGGCCCGTGGACAGTTTTCCAGTCTCCCATATAAAGGAAAACCTCTGCCGACCGATTCTAACGAATCTAATCCTTGTCTTACTCGTACCGAGTTTTTTATGAATCGGCTGATACAAAAACAGGGTGCTGCTCCCAATTGGATCGAATTACAAAAGGAGATTGACGCAGAGTTGAAAACATTTAGGAAACGTGTCAGGGATAATTGGGAGAGAAATGCCAAAGCGCACGGAAAAGAGTTGGGAAAGAGAGATCGAGAGTGGGAGGAGAAGGAAAGTGAATATTTCAGAGTTGCAGTGGAAAGGCTGAACGGACGATTGAGGAGTTATAATATTATTGCACCATCTGTAACTAGAAGACCATATTTGAAAATAGAGAGCGAGTTTGAAAGAGTTGTTAGTGGATGGGAAGAGGAAAAATGAGGTTATGTGGTAGAGTATTGTAATTATTTTAAAAACATTGAGAACGTACATAGAAGTTACCGTTTAATATTAAAGTATTTTGTGGTTCTATTCAAATTTATCGTGTAATAGATCGATTGAAGAGTTACGGCAACTGTATGATCAGCCAAACTTTTAATCATTAGTTCATGCTCCAAGGCCTGTACGAAAGTCTAGCATTGACGTTCGATTCACAAAATTATGGCTACTGTCAGTAGCATAACGGATTGCATATATTATAAAACCTTAGACTTACCGTAGGACCGTTGATCAATCTCCATCCATTAACATCGAATACAATAATTCTTTTTCCTTGTGACAATCGCTGTCTAGCTAGCGAAACTCCAGATTCATGGACGTTATTTCGAATGTAATTGTAACTCCGCGGGGAATGATAAGTGCTACAGAGCTAGTCTCACACACAATCTCGGTTTATTTAACGCTCTGAAAATAAATTTAACTTTTGCCAGGTTGAACATTAAGTAGAGTAGTTTTGAAGTAACCAAGTTTATAGTCTCAGTTGTACAATTGCATCAAATTAAGTCTGGCATCTATTAGTATTAGTGGATTGCTTAATCCTGAAGAATATAATCCGTGTTCAATCCTCTACGATTTGCCCGCTCGGCCAAAAGAAACTGAAACAGTATTGTTATTATTGTAAGTATGAGAGAAAAGGCGAGGTTTTATTGCAGATGCAGCCAAAAACATTAATTGTGTTGTATACTTTTTTGTATGTACATGCTGAAAGACGTTATTTATTCAGATGAGATGCTTGGTTGCCTATTTTCCAAGCTGCAAGAAAGAATAATTGTGCGAACGTATTTAACCGAGTATTGCATCTTCTTTTTTTAACCTTTTGGCTGTATCGGTATCGCAGCTAGTTTACCAATAAGAAAAGGGGCTTGTTTGCCCACGCTTGATCGGGTGATGGCGATTACAGTAATATTTTCACTTCAAATTCCCACTTGTGAGGCTTCGCTCCTAATATAGTAAAAGTACGACTTTTAATAAAAATGTGCAATCATCAATAACGCGTCAATCTGGTATTTCATGACATTATAAAAGTTTGTTTGAGTCATTAATGTTTGATTCTTCCCAAATTAATATTAGTCTTGATATCAAGCAAGCGGTTTATGCTATGCTTGGCAAGTTTATTGACATATAATAGCAAAATAATGACTCATAAAAAATTTAGCCCTATCAAATCAGGTGATTATCTCTTATTGTTGAAATCGCATGCATGAAATCGTGTACAGAGCGAAGAGTTGCTGTATCATCAGTACTACATGATAATCCCTTCCCTTCGTTCCAGTCCCTCCCTCAACTTTCCTCTGCAATCAGTATGCATTCGGTAACTATTAGATTTCAGTTGTACCAAATGCGTCATCTTCTTTACTGCGTGATTTATATTATGCGTAAATAAAATACTGGAGTGACAGTTAATTATATGTAATAATAATGCAGAACGACTCGCGTTGATGTCCAAATCTGTTTAGACAATAACAATTGGCGCGTTCTATCTCTTAAACTTAAACTTGTCTAGCCTAATAAAGAACGCGACAATGCCAGATGCGTCCAAACAAATGACGTCAAGCGGCAGTTTTGGGAAAGACCATATGCAGAAAGTTTATTGACGGAATAGGATAAGCACGATAAAAATGTTCGTGATGCATCTTATTTGCCTTACTTTGGCTATTCGCAGACGAACATTTAGTTAACTTCTTTATACCATGTTCAGATCAGAGCAAGTGCAGAGAAATAAATAATATAGTGAATGTATGTTGAAATGTGACGAGACTGAGTAAGGAATGACATAATAATTTTATAAAATGTCCATGGAAAAGAATAAATTCTAGCTCGGTATCATATCCGTTGTCTAATAAGTACTAGCAACACCAAGAATGATTGTTCCAAGTCATAAAATTGACTCTTTCGACTCTGGAAGAGCGGTCTCGTATTTCACTCACTTTAAGCCGCACGTGTTAGTGCAATTAAATTTATGACTGTACCGTGATTTTCAATAACTTGAAAATAGAACTCTCCTGGACAAGCAATTAGCCACAAGCCAATCAATTTACTTGGTCCGGTACGAGAATGCAGACAGAATAGTGATGGATCGATTACGAATGCTTAATATGTATTTTTTTAGACGTTCAACTGTTTGCACACAGTAACTGGATACATGTTGACACATGACAAACATACATATGTATATGTATGCGAGATATGTATTATTACTATCATACCCGAATTCTGCTTGAAAAAAAAAAGAAAAGAAAAGACTATCGTACGCTAATACATAAAGGGATATTACGGTTTTTACAAAAAGCAAATCATACATATTCTGTAATTAATTGCGTAAACATTGCGATTTATGGTAAAAGACTATCGTACATGTACCTTTATTGTGTGACGGCATATAGCAATCTCAAAAACGCTGCCGCGTGCTTTAATTATAAAACGAAGGTTTATTTTTTACAGTAATAGTCATACTTGATACGGAGGTTTAGTTGCAGGTAACAGGTGAAGGCAAGAGATGTGTCAGGAGATTGAGATTTGAAATGAGAAAGAAACCTGCATTGTTTATGTACCGCTTTTCGGCTAGAGAGCGTCAACAAGTGAATACTTTTCCTTTGATTGCATGTCTGACAGCACTAATGGTTTCACTGGCCGATGACTTAAAGTCCGCATCCTCCATTCTGCTGGGTAGACTATGTGGGGGGTAGCCAGTCACTGCCGATTCCCAAAGAATTGGACGCTGGTTTTAGTAGGTGACTTGCGAAACCGTAGACAAAAAGTACAAGGTTCAGAGACCCGGAAGGCCCGATTTTGTAGTTGTAAAAATTATTGCCGGATTTACATGGTGAAATTAATGGATACAATAAACATGTAAACATTTGTTATGTCTGTGAGACTGACGGATACCCTATAGCATTCAAACAAGAACAATATAATCATAATGGACCAATTAGCTGTCGAATACACTTTATTAGCAGGATTTTCTAAGCGGACAAAACTCCGAGAAGAGTATGGTCAGTTGTTTTTGCCGAAAATAAAGGAAAGAAGGAGAATTAACGTATATTGAATGGATTTGTTATTATTATTGTTATTATTGTCTATTACCAATACTATATGATCACGTGAATCGGTGCTATTGTGACACAACAGTAATTTAATCGTCACGTCTGAAATGTGAGCGCAGTGCCGCACTACGCCTCACAATACATCAAGTTTCTCTTTGTCAATTTCCTTTTATAGCCAGAATAAGCTATATTCAAAAACCAGAGATTTTCTTCAGAAAAAGGTATCCTGTGCAATCATACAATTCGGAACCAATGAACATGTCAAGTTTTTTATCAATTATTCAGTAGTTTTACAACCCTCCAATTGTCACAACGGGTTGGGGCCAAGAAATTGGGTTTATCGGATTGATCACTCGTATTGACACTTATAAAGCGTGATGATACATAAACTTGATGTCACTCAATTTCTCTTATTTGGGTAATCGCACTCAATCCTCCACGCCCAACTCGCTCACAACACCTTTCCACTCTTGCTTACTCATCCGACTGAAGCCCACCTTATCCATCGTCTCTCGCTTACGAAACGCTTTTACTGAAGGTCTCTTGTTACGTTCCCACCATAACATTCAAAAAGCTCTTGCCACCTCACTAAACAAGAGCTAAAGTATGGCAGATGTAGCAGAAATAGACATCGACTCTGTCATTGAAAGATTACTCGAAGGTACAAAACTGAAAACTGAATAAGATATACTTTTATTTTTAGTTATATTTCTGGCTTGTTCAGTAGCCGGAAGGAAAATAAAACAATATGTCACGAGCCTCGACTATTCACTTAAAGCTCGCCTTCCATACTTATTCCACCCATCTGCTTAGTACGGGGGTGTCGACCTGGCAAGCAAGTGCAGCTAGTGGAATACGAAATTAGGTATCTTTGTACGAAGGCACGAGAAATTTTTATATCTCAACCGATACTTCTTGAATTAGAGGCGCCCATAAAGATTTGCGGTAAGCTTTCTTTTCTATTTTCCCCCCCTTTTCTTTTTTTTCCCCGCCCGTTTGTTTTACAAGCGTACCGTCTTTTTGTTATTTCACGTATCATACTCAATTCGTTTGCGATGATTTTTGTGTATCTACAGGTGACATACATGGTCAATATTATGATCTTTTAAGGTTATTTGAGTATGGTGGTTTCCCGCCCGAGGCAAATTACTTGTTTCTTGGAGACTATGTAGACCGAGGGAAGCAATCGTTGGAAACTATCTGTCTCTTGTTGGCCTATAAAATAAAATATCCAGAAAACTTTTTCATCTTACGCGGAAACCACGAATGCGCAAGTATCAACCGCATTTATGGATTTTATGACGAATGTAAGCAACAGTTTAAAATGCCAAAAGTTGGATGTCGTAAGAGAGAGGGAGGAGGATATGAAACGTGGAGTGTGGAGAAGGACGTGCTTGTATGACACGACATTTGATAAAAAAACCCTCCCGTGCATGCTTATTCATTTTTATGTTAGCATTTAATACTCAATAACGATTGTTTTGTTAATCAGGCAAACGAAGATACAACATTAAACTGTGGAAGACTTTCACCGATTGCTTCAATTGCTTACCAATTGCCGCAATCATCGATGAAAAGATTTTTACAATGCATGGTGGCTTGTCTCCCGACCTTCAGAATATGGAACAGATTCGAAGAGTTATGCGCCCGACTGATGTGCCGGATACTGGTAGATTTTTTGTTGTTGCTTTCATGCTCTCTGTTTATTAAGATTGTAATCTAATTAATTATTTTCCAGGCCTGCTGTGCGACTTATTATGGTCTGATCCTGATAAAGAAGTCGCCGGTTGGAATGAAAACGATCGCGGCGTATCCTTCACATTTGGTCCTGATATTGTCAGCAAGTTTTTACAAAAGCATGATATGGATTTGATATGTCGAGCACATCAAGTAGTGGAAGATGGTTATGAGTTTTTTGCCAAACGGCAGCTTGTCACACTTTTCTCTGCACCCAATTATTGTGGAGAATTTGACAACGCTGGGGCAATGATGAGCGTAGATGAGACGCTTATGTGCTCGTTCCAGGTATTTTCATCGTGGTGTCGCAACAGCTTTACAGAGTGGTTTATCTAAACATTCAATGTCTCATCTGTATTTTTCACACTTGCCCTCTTCTTTTGCAGATCTTGAAACCTGCAGAACGGAAACCTAAATACAGTTATGGTGGTACTGGTGGTCGACCGGGCACAACTCCGCCACGTAGGAAGAAGAATAACCAGTCGAAGGGTCAATAAGGAGTTGTCGCTGGTCTACACTGACACTTGTATTACGTTTCGATGTGCACCGATGTTTCTGTAAAAATCGCTGGAAATAAAGCGTCTAGACACACGTTATCGTTACTTCGAGAGATTAATTTACTTTGTAGTTAATTATGCTACATCGTGTGGCCCTGTATCCGAGGGTATCATGCTTGGATTGCGTGATTTGAAATGGTAATGGTTATCATTATTAAGAACTGTAAGTGGAAATGCTCGGAAGCAGAAAGCTGGAACTGGGGTATCTATGAGGCAGTCAAATGGTTTCATCCTTATTGCGAAAAAAAGAATAAAAAAGTACTTTTATATTTCCCCCCGCTTTTACTGCGAGATGACGATGTTTGTGATAAAGGTTTGGTAGATGCGGCGAAAAAAGGTGAGACAACCAAGAAATCATTTCTTGGTATAATAACGTCCTACAGTCCTATCTCTTACATCCATCCCATCTTGTTGCCCAACATCGTTTACGAGTTTCCCAATTATTATCTTTTATATCGAGATTGGTTACAGTTAGAATAAAGGAAAACTTTTTAATTTTCTCGTTTTATGAACTTGTTAGGTGGTCTATGTTCAAGAATGTAGATGTAAAATGGGAAGCTTTTTCATCATTTCTGTAACATGATATGCGTGATTCGCTCAACTTTGTTAAATTGCGCGATTGTAATCGAAGCGATCAAAAAAGTATTCCATATTAAGGTTTAACCTTGTAGGACAGTGATGGGCATCACTTTTGCTTTCACGTGTGTAACTAGATTAAAATAAAATTTTAATTTACGATTTACATCATGCCTGCATTGTATAGCTATGCATTGTAGGTGTGGCTGGTATGCGGCTGAGATGATGCATTCACTCTTTATTCTATTGACACGATTACAGGAGTTGGTAAGACAGGCGTTATCGGATGAATCAGATAGTGAGTCACATGTAAAATCTTCTTCTCAAACTGCGCTGATACGTAATTACTTGTATGTCGGTGCATGTGTCAGGCATTGAGTGAGTGGATCGACGCTGCACAATTCAGACGTCAAACGCCTTACGTGATTCGTTTCAATTGTTCATCGGCAATAATTTAATTTGTGTTATCAAAGTACATGGCTGAGTAATGGTCGCGGCTCCCCTTTGGATGCCCTAGACTGGGGGGCATTATCGCGGCCTTGTTCTCCTGGACAGAAGACGGTTTAGACTGTATCGGGTAACTCATTGTAAACTCCGGGTACCTTGTCTGCCCGTGTCACAAGAACGCTTTGACCTCAACGTAAAATCGATACTAAGAATTCCTGTATAATCCGTTGCCATTTAATCCGAAGAATCTCAATCATGAACAGTAGGCAAAAAAGAGTTATGCAGTATTAGGAAGAAAATTCAATTTAAATTGACGATCAACTGTGCATGCTATCCTGGAACGTAAAAATGAATATCTTAGAACCAAATCAACGAGATAATCTCAAAGTATTGCATCGGATAGTCAAAGTACTAACAGTTAAGCGTGGGTACATAACATAATCGCAAATTATATATTAATATTAGCATACATTTTTGTAACACACTAATAAAGAACGATTCGTTAATCCGAAACCTGTACCACGAATCGTGTATTGAATTTCGAAAGAGGATTAGATCTTATTACTTGAAAGGCTGTTAACAGTCATTTACATAACTGAATCACGCAAGCAAACAGATGATTTTTTTTTCAAAATCGGTAAAGTGTAATAACGTAATCGGACAGCTTGTACTTTCCAATCGCTGTTATTTAAACGTTATTGCCAAGTCTCTTTATGAGCACGAATTGTTTGAATATTGGCTGCAGTCCGAACAAAAAGACTAGAAAGACACCAATATTATTTTTTTAAAATAATCTATTTAAGAAAATTTTTCTTGGTTAACTTGTTCCATTTCTTTTTCGGTTGAGGTTGACATGGATAATTTGAAGCACGAACATATGTTGCATGTAAATTGCATAGCTATGTAATCAATCACTCCAAACCAAGACCAAAACTTCCACTTGACGTGAATAACTTTATTGTATTCCATTCTTTCTGAAAAATTTGTTTTCGTTCATACACGTGAATAGCAGTAGAGCATTGTTGAGTATTTAGTTTATGTTTTATATGGAATCTTTGAATTATATTTTAATAGCTGGGGAATTTTTTCTCTCGAATGGGAAGTTGACGATGGTTGTTGACGATTTGTCAATTTCAATATTGATTTGCTGCATGTTAATGTTCTGTAATAGCGTTAAAGTGATGCCGGGATATTTGGTGGGAATGGGCACATATACCACTATTCTATGTTAAAGTGAAATTGCAAAATGCATACAAATACGTCATTAAGAACCGCGGGTCAATAATAATGATGTATTCACACTGAAAAATACCACACTTGCAGGCCAAGTCTCAATCTGGCATGACAAGTGCAAGAGCCGACACTAAAGTAGAGATTCGAAACTGATTCTCAGGAGGAACGTTGCAACTAAAATATGCAGTTTGAGAAAGAGAAAAGCTACACCTAATGTGGTAATTCACCCTGAAATTCCATGTACGACATACCCGATGATTGATAATTCACATGATTTGCAATATTTAACACACTTTTGACTTTCACCTTGTCTAATTATAATGCAATGCAAGAATATTTGAGCTTCTTTGGTTGGCTCTTTCTACCGCCGTTGGCGACTTCGTTTGTGCAAAGGACTTATTACGGAATAGTTTATTCGAATAATGCACCACACCCACAATCGCCCAAGTTTCGAAAACATTACAAACGAATATATACCATCGTTGTAATATCGTATTTGGTGTATACCATATTTGCAGCGATAGAGTCAATACAGCCAAACTTTTACGAGATACTGGGAGTCAAGAAAGAGTTTGAAGCGAAAACTCTTAAAACACATTTCAGGAGACTGTAAGTAGAACATCAACAAGCAATAAAAGATTCGTACTTTCAACTCTAAACGTTGACGTGTGTGTTCTGCCATAGACAGCTTCAATACCATCCCGACAAAAACCCAGACGCGGAAGCACAAGCGACGTTTATACTGATTCGAAGGGCATACGACACGCTCATGGATCCAGTTCAAAGATTTGCATATGACCGGTAGACGATCGGTATACTAAACAATCGAGTAGATTTTGCGCATTTGCGGCCACTTACTTACACACACTTTACTTGATATCTAGCTTTGGCCCAGAGATAATCAAATGTGATTATTGTAAAACAACGCGCGATTTTCTGTCTAATGGTTGGGCCGAATTTGGAGCATTCTACACTGGTACAGGCCTGTTGCTGCTCATTTTTAATTTCCTTGGTAAAGGCCAGTTTGGACGATTCTGGCGGTTTGTCGCGTTTTTTGGAGTAGCCTGCATGGAAGCCTCGATGATTCTCCATCCTAAATCCACTGCAGAAAGCTTCATGTCCGTGTTTCTACGTAACATGCCAGTATTCGAGCAGATACTCGTGTTAAGACGATTGTGCGTGGCGATCTTTCTGGCGCTGTCTCATGTTGGACCGATATGGTTTCCCAGCGAAGTAGCAGATATACGTCAGGACTTGCAGAGATTGGAATTAATAAGCAAGTCGGCCTTACAAGAGGCTAGTGATTTGTTGGTTGATGGATTCGAGCCGTTCCGGAAAGATAACACGGCACAAAAAATGTTAAAGAGGAAGATGGAGATGTATGAAGTGAATGCACGCCTGAACTCGTATTCAGAGTTTAAGAACATGTATAACGACGTACGGCAGAGGTTAATGACAAACAAACGAAAGAATTAGGTGACAAAAAAAGTAGTAGATTTATTCCGTAATACTTTCTTAATATTGATAATAATATTAATATTGAAAACTGTTAACCTACATGTCATCACGTGTTGTATTGAAACAGCCAATAAATTTTCGAAACATTGATCCTTTTCTGTAATCATGGAACTGAACGCAACCGCAGATTTTAAAACCTTTTTATCCAAATATTCCTCGACGCAGAACTGGTCGAGCGATTGCGACGAGACGGCCAAGAGTAATGATAACCATAGCGTTGTTAGCAAAGCGGACACTTCTTGGCGTAACACAAAGCCTCGCCCGCTTCGACGGAGAAGCGTGGCTGCAACTAGTAATGCTAAAGTGAGCGTACAGCGAGGGAGGAATGCACGACACGAGAAAGCTGTGCGTAATAGCCCTGTAACCGAATATCGCACATTGATCGATGTTATCGATTATGACTTGGATGGTAACATTCTGAAAAACTAATTCTTTTCTCACGCAAAATACCAATGTTTAAGAATTTTTTTGATTGTCCCAACTCGTATCTCAGTTCTTTTTTGCGGAATTAATCCTGGAATAAAGAGCTCACTGGCAGGGCATCATTTCGCCGGACCCAATAACCATTTTTACCCGTGTTTATATGAAAGCGGTAATGACTGTCATCTTCGTTTTCTCTATAGTGTATAATATTTTTATGTGGATTACTTTTAAAATTAGGATTGACACGCGGCGAACGAGTGACATTTAAAGATGATATTCGATTAGCCTGTGATTTTGGATTTGGAATTACCAATGTAGTTAAGCGAGTCAGTCGAACGTCATCTGTAAGTTCATGTCTTCTTGATCACAGGAAGAATAAGGATTATTATGACAGTATAGGAGGTTATTGACTATTGGCTGATTTGGCTTATATGTAGCACTTGACTCCAAAAGAATATGCCGACGGGATACCTTCGGTCGTTGAAAAGGTGAAACAATACAGGCCAAAATATCTCTGTTTCGTTGGTAAAGTTGTCTTTGAGTCGTTTTCTAGATGGTGGTTTCAACAACATGGGAAAGCTTCTAAAAATTGGAAGCCGACATTTGGCTTTCAGAGTGATATGAAATTGTCATGGGATAACTGTGATGGTGAAACCAAGGTAAGCCATTATTTGGATTGCGTTTTGAGGAACCCAATATTTAAATTGGACACGATTCTATAGATATTTGCAGTACCATCCACGAGGTAAACATTAATTTTTTAACGTTCTAGTTTCAAGTAAATTTTCTGTGCTGAAGGACTGTCAGTAATCTACGTTTCTCATCATTCAAATTATCGCCTTTTTCGATATTGGATAGCGGTCGCGTCAGTCATTACCAAAAGGATGACAAAGTTGGGTTCTTTAGAGATCTAAAGAATTTACTTAACGATGACCCATATGTCTTGTTTACTGAAGAGACAAAGTTGAGTTAACGACGTTCGAGTGAACGCACATGGTATTTTTACTGGTATCAGCAATATTATTTAATAACATTAATAGAAAGAACGCCTACATTAAAACCTATCATTACTAATAAAACTCCACATTAATATTAAGCAAAGTCTAAATTAAGAATAACAAGTCCTGTCCCCGCGTCAGCCTAAGCTGACTCCTTTTTTGTAAGATATCGAAGAAGAATATTGCGTCCCTTGCGCACGTAGTACATCCCGTCATTGCACTCGCACCACAATTTAACCCCATCGTCAATTTCTTTGTCTTAGTGCAGATTAAACATGAACATTCAGCGTATATAAGCTCGAAAAGTCTGTCACCCAATTTAATCACTAACATTGTATCAGGTCGCCTCCCCAATTGGCCTTTCACTTTCCTATCTGCACTTGCACTACTTTGTCGCTCGGAACTAGAGGAAAAAAAAAATTAAAAATTTTTTCTTTACAAGGTGAATAATTTTCCAGAAACTTACGTGCTAACAAAAGAAGACTTTTCAAACGGGACGTTTTTTAGCGACACCCGAATTGCTGGCACTATGACATTCGATACATAGGTGCCTTCACTGATTGATCCCACAAATTCGGAACTGAAAGCCGAGTTTTCCCATGTATCGCTCAAAGCATCGACGATTCCTAAAGCAACTTCTCTAAGAACGTCAGCCAAGTACCATCGTGCGTTAACTTATTAGGAATGACTTCCATTCGGTGTTTCGGATAGGATAACATGAATTTTCTGCACTCATCTTGAATTTCCGTAGGTAAGGAACTAGGAGCCATTCGTCGAGCTGGTTTCTAAAATTCAGAGAATTAAGATTTATTTTGGATTACACTGTGTATTTAAAATACATACCATAAATTCGTTATATAGCTTTTGGGGTAACTTCCATATTTTCTCCCACGTATCACTAATTACTTGCTGGCAAGAGGGGATTTCCATGTCAAATCGGAAATAGAGACACCCTCTATATCTTTATTAAGCAAACGCTTATAAAGAGGAGATGGGTTCGATCGGAGCATTTTCTAAATTCATATAATTAGGATATGTATATAATACTGTATATATTATATCTTACCTTAAGTTTCGACACCAAACCAGTGTAATTGGCCTCGATTTATTTTGAAGTAAGAGGTTTTTCCTTATTCTTTTTACGAGAAAATGTGTTAGCATAATAATAACAAGAATTAAAACTAAATAACTACCCGTATTGTTACGGTCGGATGGTCTGGGGTTTGGGAGAGCAGTTAATCTTTCGCGTAGTGGTGTTCTTCCGACCGGGGGATGTTACCAGATTAACTTCGTGCTACCGCCCTTAATACGGCAGTTGTTCAATTAAGACTGAATTCTAATCTACAAGTGACCTATTTATATAATTAAA